TTTGTTTTCTGAGGATTTGTGACTAAGTACGATAAAGGGGAAATAACCCGTCTACTCTTGTCTTACGAAATTTAGATCACAGGGACATAATTTCTAAACGACACGAATTTCAGAACTTATCTTTTTATAAACAAAGTATTTGCTGACTTTCTATGATTTCCAATAGGTCACTGTTTAGTACGTTACGTCGATGACCCCGGTGATAATGAAAGCAATGCTACTAGGAGATATTTACTGGGTTTCACCAATATCAACCGCGGCTAATCACTATTAATGTGAACGCGAATTTTGGCTCAATCGGTTAGGGCAGTGGTATTTACTATATTATTACTAGTGCATTCAGTATATTACCTAAAATAAATACGCCAAGTGATAAGTCTATAGTTTACATACATGTACTATCTGAGATAATGTTTTACTGGTGGAAAATATTATTATATGCATTGTGGGGAACCTCGGGTGTCCCAAACCCCGGGGCCCTATGGCTGGACACATAAACGCTTGATATATATTCTCAAGAAAAAAAAGCGCAGAAATAGTTCAATCTGAAGATCAGGGTTCGAATCCCAGTATAGTCACGTTGACTTTTTTTATATACTCAGAACTTCATCTTTATTACTTCTCATAAAAGTCCCAACAAGGTAGGGTTGTTCTTTTATCATGCCGGAAAAAACCCAATTTCCAACACTTAGTTACAGTTTTTGGCAGCGGTACGGGAATTCTTAAGTTCTCAGAAAGACATTTTGTTCTGCTCTGAGATGTACTATTGAAATACCCACAGAAGGCAGGTAGCTGGTACACTGTCAGTAGATGATGGGTTAAGAATATAATATTAAATATAAACTTTATTTATTTTACAACATTTATGGAACAAGTTATAACAACTTAAATTAATCACTCTTGTTGGCCTGGATGTTAGCGCGCAGGGGGTCTTAATGTGGGAGGAAACCGCAGTACCCGGAGAAAACCCACGTGATTGGGCAGGTGACCTCATTCCTTGTCACGTCCGATCGGGGAATCGAACCCCGGTCGCCTTGGTGCACTGCTCCACCCGATCACCCTATTATGAATATAATGAAGTTGACTATGGTAAACACTATATAGTTGACCGAGCATTCTCGTTACACCGATAGAAGCTGTAAAGATGCTATGGAGACAGATTGCATGACTTTTTTGAAAAAAATAATAGAGATGTTATAAACAAAATATCATCAACATCAACATTCTGTGTACAATAAACAAGTTAACGTTGCTAGAATCGAATCCTGGACATCAGGTTGTTATACTATCGCTCTGTTTTGTAAGAAATATCTCTTATTATCCCATACAAAAGCCCTCAGGGGTGGGGCCCCTGAGTTTCGCACTGTGCAAAAATAAATTACGTGTTATATAGTTTCAATGATTCCTAGGTGAAAATGTGTTTTTACGAAGTTATAACATCCCTGGCTATTCCCACAACATATAGTGTTGACATGTCGGAGTTGATTTGGTATTCAAGATCCTGCACTGAATATCTTGATTTCCGTTAAAAAAGTCAACTGCCGACGTACGAATGTGCAACGATAATTTAGAGAAATAAAGTTTATAGAAATATATGAACAAGTTTTCATGTTGTCATCATAATCTCATTGGAAAACATTAGGTTCCGTTGTGTTATATGAAGGTAGATGTGTTTGATTATGCTCATTAGTGGCGATTCTCGTTATGAGGACGTGACATTATTTGGATTTGACTTAAATGTACATGACGGGTGAAGCCGATGAAACAGAAGACGCCTTCTCTTCCGGAATACCTGGTCTTAGTATCGTTGTACTTGTTCAATAGTCTCTATATATGCAAATCTTCATTTATTCAAATTTTGCTTAATGCTACAGTGATGAGTTTGAAGTATGGTTTAGTTGACAATGGATGCTTTTGATTACTCAAATGGAAATTGTTGCTATGCGTGACTGCAAGGACAAAAACAAGTGTGTTTTAAGCGTTTACGCATGAATGGAATTAATATGTTAACAAAGATAACCACAATGATGCCTTAATTGAAGGTTGTTAAAGCTTATTATTGACAAACATATTATGTTTAAAAATGTGTAGGGACCGCGGTTGCCGAGTGTTAAATGCATCTACCATCATTGGCTATTCACCATAGGGACATTGGTTCGAGACATTCGTGGAGTAGTCGCCAGGTACGACCTCAGGTCGGTGTTTTTTCTCCGGGTACTCCGGTTTTCCTTCACCATCAAATTGTGACTCGTCCTTAAATGACCATGGCTGTTCATAGGACGTAAAGCAAACACAAACCAAAAATAAAATCTCGCTTTATCCCCCAGCATGTTATAAAAACTTGTATTACATAGTACTATGAAGTTTTATTCTATTTCTATCAAATCAACTTAATACTGCGCGATTAGAGACGCGCCTTTTACCCTCCCATTCACTTGAATGTTGATATTGGACAAATAGAAGTTTCTGACGAGATTATAATGAATTCATCGTTACATTCAACGCTGACCACGTGACCTCCTCCGTCCTCCCTCATCTAATGTCTCACGATTATATTGATTTGATCAAGGCAAAGCATTGTCACCACCGTGAAATATTTGTTTAAGTCCTTTTCAAAAGAAACATTACATAAAAATCACATGTTGCACTGCATTTTATAGAGGAATTGTTCTCAACTCATTATGGTTGCTTCTGATGTGGTGAAACACTTTAGCTATAACGAGATAAAAGTGTTTTTCAAATTGGCACTTACAGGCCTCGGTAAATTCGCCTTTTAACAGGACGCAGAATTGAATTCAATCAGCCGTAGCCGAAGAAAGAAAACATTTCATGGTGAGTTGTTTTGTATACGCTGTAGGTAATCACAATATGTCAAGGTTTTATTTATACACTCTGACACACGTTAGATTGTCTATTTCAATGAATTATAAATACCTCATGTTTGAGTGGGAACAATGTCGAACTATTGAGGGGATTACGCGTTGGTTATTTTATATACAGAGAAAAAAATTGAAACATCGAAATGGCGTGGGATTTAAGAGGAAAAGGAGATCACATCTACGTAAGACATTCTTTCAGACATACTAAGTTTTTTTTTTTTGTAAACTGAGCAGAACTGTAATTGATGCTACGGTTAAGATTGGCGTGATTGATTTTTCCACGTCAAGAGCTTTCCGCCCTTCTAGTATACTTAAATATATCATTATTTGAGTGTTTTTTTTTTCTCGAGAGTTTATCTAATCCTCTGAAACCGCTTATATAACTCTCTATACATCCACATAGGTCCAGACATATCGGGAGGCCGGTTGGCGCAGTAGATATAGCCCACTTGCCTTTCACGAAGGCGGCCGGGGATCGATTCCCCGATCGGTTCGGACGTGAGAAAGTATGGGGCTACCTGGCCGAACACGTGAGTTTTCTCCGGGAACCACGGTTTCCTCACACATAAAGGCCATCCGCGCACGTACATCCCGGCCAACAACAGAGATTAATTTAAGCTGAATGAACTTGTTTCATAATTGTTGTTATATAAACATATCTGCTGTAACAAAAAGTCAAAGCGGTCCATTTACTGAGGCTAAATTATAATATTAACAATGAAGAGGGGTTTTCCATATTCACGTGTCATGGCAATTACATGGGAGGGGGGAAGGGGGGGGGGCATAATTACCTATCGCTCTCGCGACCTTTAAAGTCGACAACGCGAGAACACGTCGGCGACAGAGCGAGATCACTGTCGCTCTATGACCGTCGCGTTGTCGCGTTGTCGACCTTTGGTCTAAAGAGCAAGATCACGAGGTTTGCTATTTGGCCCTTATCGGCTACCATACCTACGTTTTTCGTATCACCTTACAAAATTCTTTCAAAACGTACGAGTTATCTCCCGTTGAACGATCAGTAGTCTACACCAAATCCAGGGAACACACGACACATGACGAGATTTCGACACAACAAAATGGCGTACTTGTTTCCCAATCATCACAATTGAACAATGTCTTTTTTTTAATTGAAATGAATAAAACATGGTTTAAACTAACATGGCGGCGGAAATATCAACTTGAAGGTAGGAATTTAGGAATGCGTTAGGTTCTTAATATGTAGCCCAGCGGAAATATCTTTAATATCTGTGTCCAGTTTTAAGCAGAATAATATGAAGTGTTGATACAAAAAGACAAAGGCAGATCAACTATGCTTATTTAGCATTTCTCGTAATCGATCTGTATTCTACCTGTGCTATATGAATGTATCATTGTTTGTCAATGTCATTTGATAGAGTTTGGCAAAATGTTTCGGTAAGGCTCGTAGGAATCTTATCAGAAAACAACCTTTTGTGTCATCCCCCCCCCCAAATTTGGACACCC